TTAATTGTTAAATAATGTAACTTTAATGGTGACTAAATGGTTGATTAAGATCGAAGGAATTCGTCAAATAGCATGATATATACTAATGCTATAAGAGTATTTCTAAATACGAAAATAAAACACAGATGAATTCTTTTTTTATTGAAAAATATACTCTCAATCAAAATTGGAGCTTGTTTATTATGCTCGATGATACTGAATTATTGTCGTTACCCTGAATTTATCCATCACTTGTTTTCATTGATTGAGAAGCGTGTGATTATATATGTTTGATTTAGGATCAAATCCAATCTCATGTAATTTATCGTACATTGTGGAGGCCTGATAGGACTCTTTAGACCATTTGTTTTTAGTTTACAATAAATAAAGTATACGAGTAATGTTATAATTAAAAAATGCATTCATTTGTAATCATGATTTTCAAATAGAAGATTGGACAACAATCATATTTTAAATCCAACTCAATAATACTCCAACAACTATGTAATTTCATGTCACGTGGTGTAAAATTTGCCAAATCCCATAAAAATAACCATCGAGCTCCGGTCAAGCTCCAAACCCAACACTTAATCAAGAACGACTCCAAAAGGAACTTGTTCCACATCTTCATAGTAATTGTTTCTGTTGAACCAAAAGCAATGAGAATATAAATTTTATTGGGTCCCTTCTAGTTAGAAAATTATCACTTCGTGTGGAATGAGTCCGTGGAAATTTAAAAATCAAGGACTAAGGTAACAATACCAAGATCATATTCTTTGTTCATACTAGAAAAGTTCACATTGCAGAGTTCACCTTTTAATCCTGGCCATGCAGCAAACTGCTAGTTTAAGAAATGTTTATTGAAATATCTGTAACACAAACTATATGAACTAGATTAAGAAATGTTTGAACTATGATTCATACTTAATATTTGGCATCGTGTTCGGCCTCCAAAAAAAATTCAATGCAATTTGAAAAAAAAAAAGAAATGAAAGATTTTTTTATTCATTTTATCTAATTCATGGAATACGTGATGATCCAGTGGTTCTTACTCAGGGAAACTTTGGCTTAGCTTATGATTTTTTTATTGAATCATCGTGGTTCTAGTATGAATCTGAGGTTCTAATTCATAGGGTTTTAACAAGAGAATTCCTATCAATTCAATAATAATGAAAGGAAAAAAGCCACATTAGAGGCGAAAACAAATTAGAGAAAAATAGGTAAAAGAGAGGATTCAAGAGGCCCGTGAGGATCAACATACCGACTATTGATCCGGAAGGAAAAGCTTGCCTCTCACTGTAAAAATATTTGTCATATTCCAACAAATAATAGAGTAATAATATTTCAATGGAAATTCTAATGGTATAGTTTCTGTTGGCATTATTCTAATGAAACTTTCAACGAATATAATCCGCTGAAATGTGTTATCCATTGAAATTTTAGTTATAATTTGATGATTCACACGACCATTATTCCAAAGGTTTATTGCCGTAGCGATTTTCGTTGAAATATACAATTTTCGTTGGAATTTTTATTTCTGTTCATATTTCAACCGTTGGAAAATCTACCATTGAATCGTCAAAACCCAATGTATTCATTCCAACATAATATTTCTGTTACAATTCTCGTTGGAGTTCATTGAAAATTCCAACATAAATAATAGAATCAGAATGCCCATTAGAATTGTCGATAAAGTTCAACTGAAATATATTTCCATTGGAATTTCTCATTGCAATGTCAACATACTCTTGTAATGTCTTAAGAATATATTGTTTATTAAGGCCCATTTACAAACATACACTATGATTTGAAAAGAATTGCACAAATACAACTCAATTAATTTTATTAACATTAATACTATCCTTATACCAAATAATTATGAATATATCTAACCTTATTTTTTTTAAATGTCATTTTGGTTTTATCAACAATTAACTAAATAAATGACATTTTGGATCTTTTATACATATTTTTCCATTATTACTCTCATCTGGATAATAAATACACTACATCTTTTCATATTATCTCTCATCCTTAATTAATGTACCTTAATTAAAAAATTCTTCCATAAACAATTTTTTTTTCTCTCTCTCTATATACATATATATATGAAATTATACCTGCAATAAAAAATGTGTTGTGTTGGTTGACTAGGTAATTTTCTTTTGACTCTAAATGACTCAATTTTCTTGGTTGTTGATAGATTATTACTTCGAGCATCTTCAATGTAGCTTTCGACATTATATAGACCTAAAGAATGATTTTATTAATTGTCTTTCATGCATCTCAAAATAGACATGTCTATCATGTCTACTCTCAAATCTCAATGTTTCCAAAACCCACAACTTGGTCGCATAAAGTGACTAGAAAAGGCCCTATAATACATATTACATAAGCACACACATTCCTAGTGACCCCTCCATATCAAGAGGCCTATAATAAACCACTTATATCACCACAAACATCAATTTCATGTCAAAAGTAACTTCTTTTAAGAGAAAGGCCAAAGATGCCAATTTATTGATATATATATATATGGATAGTCGACTTACAGTCAGGAATAGGATCTCTAATTTTTGGTAATATACAAGAGAGATCACACCAAGACACGAAATTTTCTACATGCGTTAGCAAAACTACTCCTATTACCCGTTTATATCGTCTTACCACAAACTCAGAAGCAATTAGTAAGGATAAAAAAAGGCACTAAATTGAAAGATTTAAGAAGCTGCAGCAAGAGGCCAGTGAGCATTTTCATGGAAGAACTTAGGAGGAGAATTATTAGTGTGATTGCTCTGTGTCTCATATTCGGTTTTTACCTCTTCCACCTCCTCGTCATCCTCGGCATCCCACAAGAATCGAGCATATGAAGCCAGAACAAAACTGCCAAAAGGAAACCAAAAATTAAACTCAGTTCAAGCAAAGGAAAGCTCAAACCATAAGTGGAATTGAAGGATGATTACAAACCAGATAATAAAAAAGAAAAGGAGAAAAAAAAGTTAAAAAAAAAAAAAAAAAATAGTCATATTCAAAGTAGCAAGTAAGCCCCTTAAGTTGTTGTTCCACACACCATATGAGGCTTTTAATTACAAACTCATGCACATCTACAAATATACATGCAATGAGTATTTGTTGTGGTGATTTCTTTTATTTCTTAATTATATGCTAAACCAGAGGGGTACCCTAGTAATAGACTTGCCAATTTTTGATCTAGGAAGTTATGAGGAAAAATAAAACTGTAGATGAATGAATTTGTAGAAAATTAGGTTGTAACCAAAGTAAGTTCCGATCACATCTGTGGATACAACACATATATCCAACAAGTATCAAGTCTAGCAAATCTTGGTCATTGACCATTTAGGCCACAAATTAATGATCAGAAAAGAAACAAATATGTTCCAAAACCTCTCCACAATCCACATTAGAAGCTGACAAGAACCGAACGGACCACAAAGATAATTTCATTACCGCCAGGAAACAAGATATTCCCTCGACATTTCAAAGCCTACCTCATTAATTCAAACACCTTTCACATCACCAAAGAATGCAACAACCAACAGCTGTGTTTGAATATGCTTCCTCTTTTGGAATGGATGGTTTATTGTTGCAGAAGTAGAAGAGTGTTCAAGAATTTAAAAGTTTCCGTTGTTTACAGATAAAAGCTAAAAAATATGAATTAGTTATGAAAAAGGGTTCGGTTAATTAGTAGCAATACTTTATTCATCAACAAAATTCAAAGCAGTAGAAAAGTAAGAAATCTAAGGCACCCCTTTACACTCATCACACAACAGAACAGTTAAANTTATGATCCCTTCTTACTCTTTTCAGTGAATGCAAATATTCCCTAAACAATCCCTGTACAAGTTAGATTGGAACACAGGCATCAGAAAGAAAGGAACAATAATTATTCTCAAGAAACTAATACGAGATTTGAAGTATGCATGGAGAAAAGTATCTTCAAAGAAAAAATCTAAGAAGGATGAAACTATTTTCTCACCAGTCGTTTGGATCAGCTTTAACAGCTTGATCATAATAAGCCTCAGCTCTTTCAGCATCTTTATGTGTCTGCCATATTAGATCAGCATAAAGTGATAGAACACTCCCATCACTTGGGTTTGCAAGAATTGCCCTTCCACAATACTCCTCTGCCTTTGAAAAATCTCCCTTAACCTATACACAAGTGCATCAACCAATTACAGTTAAGCTACGTTTGAAATCTATAAAATTTTGAAATCAAGGGATTTCAAATCCCTCAAAAAAGAACGTAGCCTTATGGAATTTCTTAGCAAAATCAAGAGCTAGTGAAACCAAGTAAGCATTATGATCATTCAAAAACATAAAGACAAGTAAATTAGTAAATTACTAAGGCCAACCAAAACAAAAATAAATACATTAATAAATAGAAGAAAAAAGAAAGCACCTCTTTCAAGAATTTAGCATAATTTCCAAGTAAAAGGGGATTCCCCGGATTAGCCTGTATCATCATCTCGTAGTACGCGTCTGTGCTCTCGGGCCCACGCAAATGGCCCGGGCCCGATCTATCATCAGAGCCCCGCCCACCACCACCTCGCATCCCCCCACGACCGCCGCCGCAGCCGACTCCTCCCCCCACCACCAGCTCCCTCTCCGGCGCCGCCACCAGACACTCCTCCTCCGTGGCCGCCGATCCCAGCCCGGAGCTCGACAGGAAGGTGGACCCCACCTCGTTTTCTCTCCTCTCCTTGATTTTCCCGGGCCTGGGGGTCGTCGGCAGCCTCAAGCACCGCTTCGGCTTCGACGGATCCATCAGATCCGAGTCGAACGAGCTCCGGGTAGGGGTGCTCCGGCCGGCGCCGTCCTCCAACGACATCGTCAGGCAGAACGATCGGGTCCTGGGTATCTGGGGCAGTGTCTCAGGCTCCGGTGACGAACAAAACCCGGCCGTTGAATTGTGGAGCAGTGAATTCAAGATCGGTGTTGAGGAGCTTCTCAGCAGCATTCTTCTTCTTCTTCTTCTACTACCTTTCTCGATTACTGTATTTTTCTATAAATCAATATTTTTTTATGAAATCTAAAGATGTTTTGCTCCGCCTTGCTGAGATTGGCGGCTTGGTGGCGGAGAAAGTGAGGGCTTTATAGGGGGGTTTTGAGGGGGTGAATAATGACGGTAAGATTGGAATCTTGACGATAGAAGGAAAATGACTTTTACATGGGTTGGGACTTGGGATTAATTTAATGCTATAATGAAGATGTTCACGTGAAGGTGCAGTAGGTGGCGATTGGAGGCACCGGTGGTGAGTGCGGTGGAGGGCCCTGGGGTGTGGTGGTTTTGGCCCACGAGCGGCCGGAAAAAGAAAGGTAATCTGTACGGCCAATGGGATTCGTGATCGGCAATGATTTAAGCTTGGGGATAATATTAATAATGGAGCCAATCTAAGAACCGGGACCAAAGGCAAAGTATTCCTACGGTCACAAATTGTGTTATGAACTTGAGATGCATGTTTTTATCTATTTTATTCATCGTTTGAAAAAAAAAAAAATTTTGTATATAGTACTAAACTTGCATATTTTGTGTCATCATATTTTTGTATCCTTGTTGGTATTTCTCTTCTTTATCTTTGTAGTTGTGTTTTTTATTAGGCCTTATTTGATTTGAAGTATGAGATTGGATTAAATTAATAGCGGATCGAAGATATATTTTAACTAGCGTTTGATATACATGATTGATAGTTTAAATCAAACTTTGTTATACTTATGTAGTATATAACAAATTTTAGGAGGTGTCTATTTATAGTTATAGGAGGGAGAGTATTGGAGAAGAAGACTTGATTGGTCCTATTTAGTATGATCTCTTTCTTTATTCTAAGATTTATCTTCATCATAAGATTTGACTTGGTGGACATAAAATATTTATTTTATTAATTAAATATTTTATTTATCTTGAATTCATGTCCAAAAATAAATAAAAACATCAATTAATAAGTTATTAAAATTTCGATGTCTACACGATAATTTGCTATCCAATATAAATTGAAGGATATAAGTCTGATATTATTATTTTGACCTCATAGTGTTGACGAAAACTTAAGAACTTTTGGTAAATTGAGTTTTGTTGGTGCTGAATTCCTCACCCGACCGCCATGGTTTGCTGGCCCATTTCCTCAACCAAGTTTCAAGCAAAAATCAAGGTGGACGGATTAAACATTGGAGGGTTGTAGAAATGTAGAATTTTCTTGCTTTGTAGAGAACAAATGAGTGGAATGGGTAGGAAATCTAATCCCATCACACAAACAAATTAATGAGGCCATAATATGATGTCGTGTTGATATTTCGTGTGATATTGGCTTGATTTTACACGTACTGTTAGCAGTTTTGATTAACTCATTGTGCAAAATTGATTGATAAATTACTACCTTTTTAA